CAAAAAGTGGTTTTGGTCTATATAGCTAATTTTGCCCTTCATAACAACTGTGAGGGGGGTGAATTTTTTTTATAACGTATTCGTTTAAATTATATTTAGCCTTAAAGTTCTGCATAATTAAGGGCGTGGCCACTTGAGTGACAGGTGGATTGCCGCTGCGGTCACCACCGTCGAGCTAGGAGGGCGTGGTTTTAGCAACCAGCTCCACCCACGTCCCGCCTCTTTGCCCATTTTCGATTATCCGGGAGCGACGTGCTGCCAAGATGGCAACAGCCGGCTCCGCCCACTTTAGGCTTCAAAAATGCTCTTCAGAAACCCCGGCCGCTTTGTGATGAAGCGTATGTACGTTCCATGTTCTCATTCGGGTGATCTTCTTTACAGTAAACCTCATATCCATCATCAGGCATTGGACTCCATGATGGGTTTGGCCAGACACCTTCATATTTAGGATCTAGGTACTGAGGATCCAAGGTCCTGCGTACAGCTGGCTCCGCCCACTTTAGGCTTCAAAAATGCTCTTCAGAAACCTACGGGTGACGTCACGGACACTACGTCCATGTTTTTATACAGTCCATGGTTCCACCCAACTAGGGCGCGTACCGCTTGTTTTCCGAGGGCCAGTCCAACCCCACAGACGTGTTTGCTGTCATTGCAGGAGTAAAGGATCTTTTTCCCATCGCTTGTCATTTCACCATTCCCTGTCCATCGCACTTCACTGATGCCCCGCTGCAGGTCCAATCAATGTTGCTCAAATTCCTTATATAGCTGATGTAGCTGGCCGCTTTGTGATGAAGCGCATGTACGTTCCATGTTCTTATTCGGGTGATCTTCTTTACAGTAAACCTCATATCCATCATCAGGCATTGGACTCCATGATGGGTTTGGCCAGACACCTTCATATTTAGGATCTAGGTACTGAGGATCCAAGGTCCTGCGTGCAGTTTCAATCAGTGTATTTTGTCTCGTCGTTTCCATTGCGAATTTGTTTTTTATGGGGACGGGTTGCTAGCCCGACGCCAAACCCTCCTCCTTTCACATCGAAAGGGACGGGTAATGAAAACATTTTTTAATGGTTTTAGTTAACTATAATCACCCTTCTGAAAAAATAGAGATCTTTAAATCAAGACAGAATCAGTGTGAGAGAATGTGAATGTTCTTGGCAAACGACACAAAGGGCTTCTTTTCACGATGTGATGCAACAGGTCTGAGCTACTTTAAGCTCATTTGTTGAAGTATTTCACAGCTGCAAGCTTGAGTTCATGCACACATGATGTGTGTTTGCATGCAGTGCTCTCAGAGAAAACATTCCATAAAGACAAATTCTTAGATTCATTGTGCAATGCATTCAAATCATTACATGGCATCATACATGTATTTCACTAAACCCATCAACACGTGTAGGCCCCATTTCACCTAACAATCAAAAATTATGTATTACAAATCAAAAACTGAGCCTATTTTAAGAAACATTAAAATTTAGTCTGTTTGCATCACAGCATGACATTTCATGACAATATAAAATAAAAAAATTATAGCCCCCCATATTCCCAATTCTTCTTATTTTAATGCAAAAACTCTCATTCCCTTTACAAAAATTAAATACAATTATAATTATTAAATTTAATGTGTCATGGTATTTTTGTTGTTCTGCCTTTATGCTGGTTTAGATTTAAATGTAAGTTATTTATATATTTTTTGTACTAATGAGAATCACCTTTGAGAATGTATGCATGTAAAATAAATCAAATGTGTTTACTTGTCAAGAAAATAATGTCACATTGAAAAGAAGGGGGAAAAAAACTCATAATTCTAAAATAGGCTTCATTTACCGTAACAGAATAATGCTGATGGTGAAATGTGACCTGCACATGTTTTCATGAGATGCATTTAAAGTAAGATTTCCACTCTCAAATAAACAATGCGTTTGGTTTCTTGTGCAGCTAAACGTTTTCTCGCATGCCTCACCTTTGAAGTCCACCTCTCCGTTGCCGTCCGTGTCGAATATCTCGATGACTCTCTGCACCAGTGGATTCTGCTGTAACTCGGGCAAGGACATGAACTCCTCCACGCTGAGGGATCCGGAGTTATCTAGGTCGAGTTTCTTAAACCTCTTTCCCAGCCTTTTAATCTCATCAGCATCGACTGGCGTGGGCCGAGAGAAAGCGCCAGACACACACAATAAACACAGAAATGGACAACATTAGCAAACACTCCAGCACACGTAACCAACGCTCACCCGTCTGTCTGAGCACAGATGCACCCAATCCAGCCACTGTCTGTGCTTCAGCCAAACAACACTACAAACACTGTCAAACGCAGACAAATGAATGAAGCGTGCCACACTCACATCCCGTGACGGGATCCTTGGCTGCCGCTGGCCTCGTGCGAGTCACCACACACAGAGGTTTACCCATCGCACCGTACCGAAGAGCCATGCGGATCCCACCTCACTGCTTAATACCACTGCTGAGCTTTCAATATCTAACTGTAAGCTCATTCAGATTCAGTCACATGACCCTTCAGTGGGCCTCCCCAGCTCTGAGCTCTTTACACCACTGCAAACTCGAAAACATCAACATATTTGTAGTTTTTTACACTGCCGCTCAAAAATTTTGAATAATTGCGATTTTTATTGCTTTTAAAATAAGTCACCAAGACTGCATCTATTTAATCAAAAACACAGTAAAAGCATTAATATTGTGAAATATTATTACAATTTAAAATAGCTGTTTTCTATGTGAATATGTTAACATTTGAATTGAATCTGAATTTTCAGCATCACTACTCCAGTCTTCAGTGTCACGTGATCCTTCAGAAATCATAATAATATGCTGATTTGCTGCTCAAGAAACATTTCTGATTATTATCAGTATTTTTGTGGAAACTGTGATATACTACCATTCAAACAAATACTTTCATTCAGCAAGAACACGTTAAGTTGATCATAAGCAACAGTAAAAGGTTTTATAATTTACAAAAATCAGCATATGTGACCCTGGAGCACAAAAGCAGTCTTAAGTCGCTGGGGTATATTTGTAGCAATAGCCAAAAATATATTGTATGGGTCAAAATTATAGATTTTTCTTTTATGCCAAAAATCATTGGGATATTAAGTAAAGATCATGTTCCATGAAGATATTTTGTAAATTTCCTACCGTAAATATATAAAAACTTAATTTTTGATTAGTAATATGCATTGCTAAGAACTTCATTTGAACAACTTTAAAGATGATTTTCTCAATATTTTGATTTTTTTGCACCCTCAGATTCCACATTTTCAAATAGTTGTATCTCGGCCAAATATTGTCCGATCCTAACAAACCATACATCAATGAAAGCTTATTTATTCAGCTTTCATATGATGTATAAATCTCAATTTCGAAAAATTGACCCTTATGACTGGTTTTGTGGTCCAGGGTCACATATTAGAATGATTTCTGAAGATCACCTGACACTGAAGACTGAAGTAATGATGCTGAAAATTCAGCTTTGATCACAGAAATAAATTACATTTTAACAGATATTCACATAGAAAACAGCTATTTTAAATTGTAATAATATTTCACAATATTGTTACTGTATTTTTGATCAAATAAATGCCTTGTTGAGCAGCAAAGACTTCTTTCAAAAACATTCAAAAAAACATACCGACCCATACTTTTGAATGGTAGTGTAGATGCCAGGTACATCCAAGATATTATGTCCAGTTCTAAGTCTTGTGCACGCACTGCCTTTTTAATTTGATTGCTGTTAATTTAGCGCTGAACATTTCTGATTGGATCACCGCAGATGGATGTTAATTTCAGCTGAGATGATCTCGCCTGTTTAAATTAGTTATTCTAGTTTAACAGTCAGCTACAGGTGTGTGTATCATAAAGAACATGATATCTGTTCTCCTGTGCTGCTGTCACACAAACCTAAAACAGCAGAGCTAATAACACTAATATATGCACATCCATCAACCCCGCGCTCAGATCAGTGACGATGATGAATCACCAGCATTAGCTCAATTGTAATTAAAGCGATTAGAACCGCTGAGATGATCGTGAGGACTCATTAGACTCATAGTTAAAAGCATGACAATCGCAGGAGGTCCAACTATCGATCCATTAGTACAATGACCTTCACTGAGCGTCTGATGTGAGAGAGCACATTTGCCTTTAGCTGTACATGCGTACTGAAAGCAAAACTGATGATGGGGGAAAATCACACAAGGCATTAACATTCAAAATATTACACACAACTGGAATACGAGACTATGGAAGCCTGTTTCTGTCACTGAATAAAAAATAAAACAAGGTAACTGCAACATTTTCATCTTACAATTGTGACTTTTCCTCGCAATTGCGAGTTTCTTTTTTACAATTTTGAGAATTGTGAGAAATACATTTACATTTAGCAGAAAATAAATTTATTTAGAGAAATAAAGTCAGAATCGCGTGATATAAACTTGCAATTGCGAGAATTGTGATTCTGACATTTTTCTCGCAATTGCAAGTTTGTATCTCACAATTCAGATTTTTGTCCCTCGCAATTCTGACCTTTTTCTCGCAATTCTGACTTCTGTTCTCAGAATTGTAAGATATAGACTCACAATTGTGAGTTTATGGCCACGTTCACACAGCAGCAGAATACGGTTGTCAGTCCTGTATTTGAGTCCTTAATACGGTTACGTTCACACACAGTTCGGTTATTTACGGGTGTGACAACCGCATTCTGTAACCGAACTCACACCTCGGAACACACGCGCTGTGTGAACGGAACCGGACTGGACAACTAGTTGTCTGTCATACAGTGCGAGAGAGAGCCGTTCTGCAGCACAAACGCGCGTCTACCGTGTGTGTTTTCGGTAACTTACCGTGACGGAGAAATGAGCTGCGTGTCATCTGAACGTTTTAGGGTGCTTTCACACTAGCACTTTTGGTGCGCACCCGGGTTCGATTGACGTCAGAGTTCGGTTCGTTTGGATGATGTGAACGCAGTCTTCCGAACTCGGGTGCGCACCCACGAACAGTACCAGAGTCCGCTTAAAAAGGGTGGTCTGGGGTACGGTTCAAGTGAACTCCGGTACGGTTCGCTGCTGATGTGAACGCAATCGTACCAAATCACGGAAGTGAACCGCTATTAATGACGTATTATTTGATAAAAGTGTGTGTTTGTGTGTGTTTCACTCACTTTCCTGACGACTGACGCGCTGCAAGCAGAGAGCTAGCCTGTATATCTCATTTCTGTTCGCCTTCTGTTCGAGTTCTTTAGAGCATTTGCATAAGGCAGACGTAAGTGCCGTTATGTACTGAAGCTTTGGAAACAAAACCAACGGTTCAAAAGCATAAATATAAAATTGAAGAGAGCAATGCTACGCATTTTGCCGTCTTCTCCTGCGCCATCGTTACTAAGCAACGGGGTAAACAGCTGCTGGCTTGATGACGCAAACGAACCGCGGTTCGGACCCAAATAATATAATGTGAACACAAGTCCAGCGGGGGCAGGGGGAGGGGGGAGCAATCGAACTCGGGTTCGGACCAAACAATCGAACCAAGTGTGAAAGCACCCTTAGATCCCGTCAGTTTTCCACCGGAGCCGCTCCCGTCAGTTGTGTGTTCTGCGCGTGATTCAAATGCTCCGCTCTCCACCCAAATATAAAAGCTGCTGTCGGTTGATTAAGATTTGACGAAAGAATTCGCGGCTCGATTGGACTCTAGTCGTGTCAGAAAGTGATAAGACTTTCAGTTTTATGGACGTCGCCATCTTTGATTTTACTTTGGTCACTGTCGCTATGGTTACTGGTAAGGAATACGGCTTGACTCCCGTTGCGCGTTCATACAGACAGTGTTCTAAACACAACTGTAAGCTGCTGTGTGAACGGGACATTTCGAGACTCACACCTGTAAAGAAAATGCGGTTGTCAATCCCAAAAACTGACAGTGTGAACGTAGCCATAAAGTCCAATTCTGAGGACAAAAAAAGAGACTATTTTCTTACAATTGCGAGTTTATATCTCGCAATTCTGACTCTTTTTTTTTCTCCGATTTGCGACTTTATTTCTCAAAATATTGAGTTTATATCATGCAATTGCGAGGAAAAAAAAGTCAGAATTGTGAGATAAATCACAATTACCTTGTTTTATTCAGTTGCGGAAACGGGCTTCCATACGAAGACCACTGGTGTGGCAGAAGCCAATAAAACTCAATCATTCATCCACCAAATTAATCAAATCAAGCTCTCACAAGTAGCAGTATTATTCATACTTTTTATTATTATAGCCTTATATAATGGTACAAGAAAATATGGTCTGGTCAATTTTTGTGAATAATTAAGCATTTATAATTAAGTTAACCCCCCCCCTCCCTAAATTAAGTAAGCTTCTCATGAGTAAAAGTGAAAGTGACGTGACATGTGGCCAAGTATGGTGACCCATACTCGGAATTAGTGCTCTGCATTTATCCCATCCAAAGTGCACACACACAGCAGTGAACACACACACACCGTGAACACACACCCGGAGCAGTGGGCAGCCATTTATGCTGCGGCGCCCGGGGAGCAGTTGGGGGTTCGGTGCCTTGCTCAAGGGCACCTCAGTCGTGGTATCGAAGGTGGAAGAGAGAGCGCTGTACATTCACTCCCCCCACCTACAATCCCTGCCGGTACGAGACTCGAACCCACAACCTTTGGGTTATGAGTCCGACTCTCTAACCATTAGGCCACGACTTCCCCCTAGAATTAGAAATTAGATTAGAAAGCTCTGTTTTGCCCAAAGGTGATATTTCATACTCAAGCTTCATTGATAACTCAGGTTCATCATGCGCAGACTGCAGCTGGACGGACTTATGAATAAAGTCTGAGCGCTGGAATGTGCTGCTCACTGAGCTTCTCCTTATGTACGCTAGCTTGTTTCAAAGCCTGACATCACCCTATTAATGACCACTGGGCAAGACCAGAAGAGCTCTTATTTTTAGCCGTGAGCTCATAAGAAGCCTCCAAAAGCGCCCTGAGGGAAACCCCCAGCAACACGGGACTCCAGCACACGGGCCGGGGTTTATTTTGAGCGCTCACAGACAGCTTGGGATGCTTGCGGCCTCTGCCACATGCTAGTATGACACACATTACTCCACATACGCACTTTTAAGTAGGTCATTTGCATGAGCAAGCCTCAAAAATGTACTCTAAACTATCACACGAGTATAAAGAGTTGAAGAGATTACTTGAAGACGGTGCATTTTTGTGAGAACAAGTGATCTACAGCAGACTTTTTTTTTCTAGTCCTGTAGGTTACATGTACGAATCAATCAAACCTTGCCCATGGTAAAATAATTAAAAGGGGTCAAATGATGTTGCTAAAAAAGAACATTATTTTGTGTATTTGGTGTAATGCAATGTATTTATGCTGTTTAAGGTTAAAAAAACACATTATTTTCCACATACTGTACATTATTGTTTCTCCTCTATGCCCCGCCTTTCTGAAACGCGTCGATTTTTACAAAGCTCATCGGTCTATCTTCCCACATTGTGACGTAGACATGTGGGGGCGTGTTGAAACGAGGCGTTTTAGGAGGGCGTGGACCAGTCTTAACTTTTATAAAGAATATCTCTTTGGGTTTGAGAACAGCTTCTATCTATGCACGAACAGCTTGTAACACTCCAAAGAGAAAAGAAAACTTGAAATCGCATCATATGACCCCTTTAAAAAAAAAAGCTTAAAATCAAAATTCTGATAAAAAGTGCAGCACCAAATAAGTTTTTGTATTTGGTTCTATGCTTTTTATCAGAATTTTGATTTTGGTGTGTAGATCCAAACCAAATGCAAAACAAGAAAAAGAAGAAAACAGGATCCAGACACAAAAATACAGGCAGAAGCTCATGTAGATTTAGTCCAATGAGGCTACAAAAAAAGTGAAGGGTCAAACCCAAAAACATTTTGCATTTGGCACTTTTTTGTGACCTTAAAAAACACACACACACTGTATTGCAGTGATGAGAATCACCACTGAGAGTAATTAACATTGAATGATCTGGTTCACAAAACCAGCATGGGTTAAAGCAAAAAAAAATGTTTTGACTGAAAATGTTTCCTCAGCCAAACCCCATTCCTCAGCCATACCTGTCACACACCCAGTTTAAGAGCGCTTGTCCTCCTAATTAAAAAAATTTAGGAGCACCTTCTGATCAGTAATAAAAAATTAGCCTTCCTAATATGAGGTGAAATCGATTCAAATATATGATGATTCAAATCAGTTGAGATGCTCAACAAATCGCGATTCAGTTAGGGGTAGGAGTTTATATGAATGCATGTCTGAGGGGAACTTACTGTGTTTCTATGGTACTTTTTCTTTTCCTCTTGCCTCTGTATAAAGCATATTGAAGTTCATAAGTGCAGCGCAGCTTTGTTTACAGCGGAAACCAAGGATTGGGGCTTGTTTAAAAAAAAAAAAAGTAGTTTTGTTATTTACATTTACATTATATTTAAATTTTGTTATTTAGCAAACGCTTTTATCCAAAGCGACTAACAAATGAGGACAATAGAAGCAATCAAAACCAACAAAAGAGCAATAATTTACAAGTGCTATATTAGT